AGTATAGTCGAAAATGGCCGTACGTGTGGCTAGCAAGCATTTTACGCATGTGCATGCATGGTGTCGCGGGTCCTTTAAAGAATCATTTGATGAGGAAAATATGTGTTGCGTGCCTTCCGTAGCTCGTCTGGCCCAGCTTACCGAATGTTTCTATTCAAGTGGAGAAAATTAGATGCACATAAAGTTTTAGAAGTAGATATGCGAATTTTAACTGGTCAAAGAAAGGCTTTATTGGACCAAGCCGACTGTTTTACTGGATACAAATTCTGAAGCTCTTAACACAGGAAACGTATTGGCATCCAGCAACAAAAAAATTAAGATCATAGTGAATTAATCCTTAAATAAAGAAAGTGCCTTGACAACTTGCATTGTTAGAAAGTGCATGATGCCTCGCCACTTTATGCTTCGATGATGGAGGCATTCCATCAATCATCATCACCTTTATCTTTTGTTTTAAAAAAATTGAGTAGACGATATGGGTCAAGCTGAAACTTGTAGACCTTTGGAGCCAACATTCGATCCACAACAGAGATAAAAAAGCTGATGAATGGGCTTGTAAGATACCTAATGGCTGATCCATCACGTAGTAAAAGTACACTATGTTACTTGTGTTGTTTTCTTGTTGAGGTTATACCTGCTAATGAAATCCTAGTGTAAAAGAGAGATAAAAAAAGAATCAAATGATTTAAACAAATTGTAAGGCGGACCCACAGGAACATTGAAAACTATTATGTCAAGTGTCCAAAATCAGTACGACGTGGTAATCGAAGGGATGTGCCTTTTCTTTTAGAGGTAAATACACTAGAAGTCTTGAAACTTGCGTGCGACGGTTAATTTGGTGCACAAATTTGCAAAATACATATTTCTGGTCATCTAACTTGCGCGGGCGTGCAAATATGGTCACATTTTCCGTACGTGGGTGTATTCGCTGCCTACATGGCACGCCAACATTGCCAGGGCCGATATTTTTTTTCCAGAAACACCTTCATTTTTTTACTTTGTACAAAAGCACTCAAACAATAGTTGCCCGCTGGGTCCCACCATCAGTGTAAGTTGTAAATATATTGGGCCATTGTCAGTGGCTAGTGCACATGATATTTTTTTTAGAAGGATACTCGTCTTTTTTTTACTTTGTACAAAAGCACTCCTTGTCCGCTGGGTCCAACAGTCAGTGTAAGTTGTAAATATATTGGGCTGGGAAAAATGGGACGAGCAAGTTCTAACCAATCACCAATTGTAATGGAGCCTATCCACCGCAACTGATCGTACTTGGTATTTCATTTCAACTACTATGGTATATCACCTCTAAAATAAAAGTGCACATTCTGAATATATTTTCATTTCTCTAGATTTTCAAATTTAAAACTATTCGGATTCAAACAAATTTTCAGATGAATTGTTCGAAACAAAATTACATACATTCATTCTGCACTATATTTTCTTTTGTCTAGATTTTCTAATCTAAAATTATTTGAGTTCAAACAAAATTTATTTATTTATTCTGGAAAAAATATACATACATTCATTCTGACCTATGTTTTCTTTTATCTAGATTTTCCGATTTGAAATTATTCGAATTTGAACAAAATTTCCATTGATTTGTTCAAAAGAAATTTACGTACATTCATTATGAACTAAATTTCGTAAATTTCTTTTATATAGATTATTCAAATTCAAATAAAAACTAGTTGATTTGTCCGAAAAAATTACGTACATTCATTCTGACCCATATTTTCTCTTATCTAGATTTTCAAATTTAAAATTATTTGAATTCAAACAAAATTTTGTTGATTGGTCCCAAAAAAATACGTACATTCATTGGGCACTAAATATCCTTTTATCCTTATTTTCAAATTTTAAACTATTTGAATTCAAACAAAAAATTAGATGATTTGTCCAAACAAATGATGTACATTCTTCGTACCATATAATTTCTTCCAGCTAGATTTTTGAATTCATAATAAATTAGTTTATCTCCGAAATAAATTCACGTATATTAATTATGAACTATATTTTATTTTATCTAGATTATTCAAATTCAATCAAAAAATTACTTGTTTTGTCCGAAAAAATACATACATTCATTTTGACCTATAGTTTCTTTTATCTAGATTTTCAAATTTAAAATTATTTTAATGCAAACAAAAATCTACATTAATTCTGCACTATATTTTTTAATCTACATTTTTAATTTAAAATTACTCAAATTCATACAAAAATTTAGTTGATTTGTCCAAAAAAATACGTACACTCATTCTGCACTATATTTCCTATCTAGATTTTTAAATTTAAAATTACTTGAATTCAAACAAAATCTAGTTGATTTGTCCGAAAATTTTATCTATAATATAAGTAATTTTCTTAAATAGAAAGAAAGAATATATAAGATAAATTGTGCTTATCTAAATGTCACTGTGGCCGGATGGTTGGTGCTCGCACACGCGGCGAGTTTACGTGGTCATAGGTTAGAACCGGTACCTTCCCCTTTTCTTGTTTGGTTTGTACTTTAACTCTTACGGTTTATCTAATTATGCTCTATAAACGTCAACAGTAAGGAGGTCAAGTGGCTATATAAGCGAGGCAAATAATAGCAGGCGAATAATGGTCGGTTTGATTCCTTGTGTCGTACAATAATCAGACAAAATGTATCGGATGTATAGCAGTGTTAAAAAGAATATAGTACGCTGATGCTAGTTGTTCTCTCAAAGTGTTTGCAACTGGTACTTAACTAGTAGGCCTATAGAGACCAAATATATTGATCAAAATTCATTATTCCGCTAATGTTTTCTTACGCTTAGACATTGTTCTGGTGATGTTTGGTGCAAGTTAGGATTATAAATAACAATCAACTTAATATATCATGTGTTCATGTAATGTAATCGCCACATATTATCTATAGGAAAAACCAAGATATGAAACTGGTGAAAATTTGATAATACAAACCACTGTGCAAAAACAAAAGACAACTGGTATTAAAAATATCTAAATTTTGGAACTTAATTTGCAGCTTTCCCACATTTGGTGGAGGAAAATAATGTAAGAATGAATTATGAAAAATCATTAAAAATGTGAAGACCTTTTTAGATGGAATGTGAGAGATTTATTCGATATGATCTAGATTTTTCTTGTGGGATGCCAACTTGTTTAATGTGCTGAGAGGTCTAAAAATTTTATCGTTCAAACTTTGTTAAACCAACTAGCTAAGAGCATCTCCAACCGCCTCCCCAGGAAGGCCTCCATGAGCATTTTTTCACCGCCGGCGGACGAAAAAAGTCCCACTCATGCCCCCACGAGCTCGTTTAGTGCTGGATCTGGCCAAAAACAGAGAGCCGGCGACCCCAACGCGAACCCAAGGAGCTGGGGGGCACCTATGGGGCTTAATTCGCCGTTTTACATGCGCTCATCCACCTGGCAGCGTCTCTCTTCTCTCCTGCCCCTTTCCCTCCCTGGCCCACCCACGTGCTCCCCTCCACACACACCCATCCTCTCTCTCTCTCGAGGCCGGGCTCCTCTCTCTTCTCTTCTCCTTCTCTTGCTTCGCGGCACCCGGCACGCCGCCGCCCTCGCCTCGCCGCGCCCGGCTCGCCACCGCTGTCGCCTCGCCACGCACAGGTCCGAAGCATGGCCATCACGTGCTCCTCCTACAGCTGGGCCGGACGCGCCGGTGGAAATGGCGCACACGCCGCCCGCGCCTCCTCTTCCTGCTCGCCGCTGCCGCTCCTCCACGCTGGTGCGGCGCCGACACGGGCGAGCTCGCGGTGCGCGGGCGCAGTGCAGGCACGGGCCTGCCCGAACGGGTCGGCCGGCGGGGATGACGCCGGCGCCCCAGATGATGTCGGCCTCGTCGGCCGGCGGGGACGAGCTCCAGGGTCGGGTCGGCCGCGTGATGCAGGGGCGGCTCGAGGGACCGGGCATGGGGCGAGGGAGTGGGGCACGGGGCGGCTCGACGTCGGCCTCCAGCCGCCCGCTGCAGGCCGCCTACGCGCTGAGCCGCGGCCGGCGCGCGGCCAGCACGGACAGGGACGATGGGACCCCCGGCAGGGTATGTCACAAGATGGCTGGGCGAGGCGCTGTACAAGATGAGGTGCGCGCGCGGACGAGCTCCTCGTCGGCCCTGCCGCGGAGCGGACGCGGCGGCGGCTCGCCAGCCCCGGCGCGGGGCGGACGCGGCGTTCAACATGAAGGCGGTCAAGCGGGCGAGCGAGTGAGGCGTCGACTGGGGGCTTAAACTACTGAAAAAATTCTCGTCCCAAAAGCAAAATTAGCGCCGGCAAGTTTTTATCCGGAGGAAAAATCGCATCTGGGGACACAACGGCTGGAAATGCTCTAACCATGTAGACTCGGCTGGTCCAATAACATCTAAATTCTTGCATTTACAGCAAAGTGAATTCAAGGTCTCTTCCCCGACAAAGCTTGGAACCTTACATTATTGGGTAGCACATGAGGCCTCACCACTTTAATTTATGCCTTGATGGAGATATACCATCAATCACCATCACCTTCTTTCCTTCTTTCTCTCTTTCTTTGTAGGCGCTCTCCTCCCCGTGATTTTCTTTGTCAACAGTGTGTGTGGGGCTCGATCGACACGTCGTGGTGGGCGCCCACTCTCCGTCGCTTTGCTTTGTCTCGTCTCTTAAAGAGCTCCACACCATATCCTCTAGGCTCAAAATTAGTTACTAACACTGCCTCATCTGCTCATCTTGTCCACTTGTTCTAGCTAGCTAGCTTGGAGCCTCTGATTCATGGACTTCCCGGAAAAGAAGGCTGGATCCATGGATCCGGTGACCGTTGCCAAGAAGACGCCTCGTCCGGTTGATGTCTGCGCGTGGGCGCTCTTCACCGCCTGCGCCACCGCGTTCTCCGTTGCCGTGGGCTACTCAATCGCACACGCACACGCACACGCACACGCACACGCACACGCACTCGACCGCTTCCACGCCCCCTGCTGGCAGTGGCAGGTAACGACGAGCCGACGACCCTTCTCCCTGATTCCAGTTCCACTACCCTTCTCCCTGCATGCGTTCTGAATTTCCCCTGCCACAATTCTCCTTTCTGCCTTGTGACCACCTGACGGACGCGGACAAAGCCGTGGTGAACGCCGTCTGCCTCGGGATGTTGTCCTGAGTCCCGGTCCTGGCGGCCTGGGCGGTGCTGGCGCTGCGCCTCCTTTGCCGCCGTCGCTGGGTCCGCCGCGCCCTCGCCTGCCTCGTGCTCGCGCTCACCATCGTCGGCCACTGCCTGTACGCCACCGCAGCCTGCCTCGTCCTCATCGCCCACCAAGGACACATCTTCATCCGGATCTGCTGGACTGTGGGCATCTTCCTCATCCCCTTCAGCTTCTCAGTCCTACAGGACCTACACCTCCTGGGAGGTGACGAGGAGTGAGAAGCCGGGCAAGCACAAGTAGTAGCCGATCAGTTGAGCTAGCTGGAGAGGATCTGCTCATATGCTACTGATGGCTAACTATTGAAGTGATGAGTAGGTAGTTCTAAGGAATAGTTAATGTAGAGTATATATGCATTATAATGTGTGTTAATCTAGTAGCTATATTGTAGTGTTATATATTTCCATAGACCGACTATGCTAGTTGGTGCATTTGTGTAACTAGGAAAAGTGCCCGTGCGTTGCAACGGGAGAAAAAAAAATTCACGCCTCATACACACACTTAACGACATCAGCAAATCCTTGAAATCTTTCATGATGCCACGCAACAAGCAATATGATAACTTTTCTAAAAAAAACAAGCAACATGATAAGTGGTGTTGTGCAAAAACATAAAGGTGTGATGATTTTTGAAGTGAACTGAAGGTGTTTAGAATTCATTATACAACGCAAATATCTACCTAGTTGCCAATATATGTTTACGCATTTGTTGTTGTTTCTCGGTGATGCGAAAAAAATATTGCATTAGAATGAAATACAAAGTACATTTTAGTATTTAATGATAACATGTGCATAAGTGTTTTCATATACTCCCTTCGTCCAAAATAACTTGTCCCAAGTTTGTCCCTCAAATGGATGTATCTAACACCAAATTAGTGCTAGGTATATCTCTTTGAAGGACAAGTTTTTCGGACGGAGTGAATATACCCAGCGCATATATATGCGACGCGACGCGAATGTGTGTGTGTGTGTGCAATCATAATTCAGTTCAAGACTTAATTTGGTTGCAAACATATAGGATAGCTCCACAAAAACAACCAATCTATAAGGACATATGTAATAGGCATTTATAAAATATCTCATCATACAAAGAAGGTATTATTTAAGTTTGCACCCTGAATGTAATTTCAAAAATTAATGATAATAGCATATTTGAAATCTACATATTTTTCTGATGAATTTTCATATATGGCATGTCAGATTTGAAGTTAGGGTTTCAAAGATATGAAAATTTCAAAAAGTAATTGATTTTTTAAAGGAAAAGGGTGGGTGTGGGAATCGAACCCGCAACCTCTAGCGCGGTAGGTCACAAAACCAACCAGTGCAATGCTCGCCTGGTCGTTGTACATGAGGGGATCTCCCCTTATTGAGCTATGGGCGAGCGCGGGAAAAAAAACGAAACGTTCTTCTCACTTACCGGTGGCATTGGTGGGTAATTATTTGCAACTTTAGGGGCAGTTTTAATGACGGACGGGCAGAAGCGATAGCTGCCCGTGCGTTGCCACAGGAAACAACAATGAAACATTGGTTTTGAAAATTCTTGCTCATCTATTATTGCGAAAAAATGAGTCTTTTCTTGTAAAGCCAACATTTGAGGTCAGCAAGACTTCATTAGGATTTTCACTTCCGAACTGGCCCTAATTTTTACCAGTAGAAGCTTTGGTGTTAACTTCATCCAAAAATATAATATACGATTGGATATGAGCTTATTTTCACCGGTAATTGTTATGAAGCTACGCCACTCGCTGAAGCTGGTCTTTGGCAATCGATGGGCGGTCTTCGTCGCTCTGGTGACTCTTCAGGCTGAAGTGCAACCTTCTGAAGCGATGGGTCTGTCTGCGCGCCTCTTTCTTCTTCCTAGGGTTATGCCAACAAGAAGGTAGTGTTTCTTCTATTTGGGGCTATGTATGGCCTCGAGCCATACTGCCATAGCAACCTCGTTGCCTCAAGTGGCTCGTCCCCGACGGCAGCAAGATGCAACCTACACTGACGCAGGGACCTGATCATGTTTTTGTCTCTCAGTTTGAGGTCCTTTTTTGTAAAAGTCCATGGATTTGTTATGTATTTTCTTGTTTCTTTAGGGCCTAGATGTCATATGTGTTGTATCATGTTATTACGATGGTAATAAAGCTTCGGGATCCCTCCCTGTTAAAATAAACTTTGACAATAACGCCTGTAAATAAATAATATTTTTCACTTGTATACTCTGCATGTACTCTTACGTCAAGCTCCCACATAGATATAAAATTACAGACATGTGATATTCAATCACCAATTCTATTATTTGTCTAATGAAATTTTTTATTCTATTTTTCTTCTGGCTCTACGGACAATAGGAAGGTCACGGCAACCATACTGTTATACTCCATATAACGTATCATCCTTACTACATGAAAAATGTGGTACATTACCACTACATCTACAATCCATATGACAAACAATAGTGGCCCGTAGCTCGTACAAGTGCAGTGTCCATGTTAGAAGGTTTAGCACACTTTCCTGCTCCATCCATGCTACAGTTGAGTACTGCAATATGAGTGGCAAAGTACAACCCTACAACTGTATTTCAAATAGGCATAAGAGAGAGAATATATTGCATTACTTCTGACCCTCCAGGAGTGTCTCTTTCTTGATGGTTCCAATAAATTGATATCCATGTTTGACTACTTCTATAAGAGATATAATGTTCCAATAAATTGGTATCCAGGTTTGACTACTCCTATAAGAAACTTACTTCATGTAGTGTGTAGACACTTGAAGAAACATGTGTTATCTCATTCCAAGAAATACTGGAAGACTAATAGACATAGCCCTAGGCTAGTTGAAGTGGTTTCTGAAAAAGAAAATCATGATATTACAAATTGAAGTTGTTCACAAGAGAAATATCAATTTAATTTGACACAGAGTTACAATACTGGGGAAACTGGGATTTACAAAGTAACTTCGAACTAAATAATATAGCAAAATCAGGTTATAAGGATTGACTTATTTCTGTTCTGAAAAATCTACGCATCATGTAAAATGCTAAATAAGTGCAGAATTTGTACAGTTAGAAATAGCAGACTTGCGACACACTAATCAGATTATCATGATGGAGCTCAGACTTGTAAGGCATTATAGATGGCAACACTGTCCATGTGAGTGACACAACTTAATGTACCTTTGTTCAAACTTATAGTTTTGCAGGACATTATAAATGGCTTTAAAATCCAATTATGCTCTACCCTGCAAGCAGCCCACACTTGTGTTTGAACACAAATACCTCCTGGATGAACCAAGTCGCAGGATACACAAGCATCCAGATTATGGACGGATAATATAAAACATCTAGCTTGACAATGCACTTGTTCTTGGAGTAACCTGCAACAAAAACAACAATTCCTTTCCATCTACTATTAAATTTGAGACAGCGGTTTGCTCTGCTTCAGGTACTGCTATAGTGTAAGGATCGAGATTCTCTATGGTTCTTCCTTGTCTACAAATAGAAAAGAATAAGAAAAAAGTCCTTATCAATGCTATTGACAAAATTATGTGAAGTCCTTCTATCTCAGGCAAACTAACGGCGATGTTTCCCTACCACCATGATAGAGGAAGATAAATTAGGAACGTAAATAATCATCTTGCGTAAGCTGTGACTATAATCAAATATATTACCAAAGAACACAAAAGGCCCTGGAGACGTCGTGTAAATTAAAGTGATCAAGAAATAAGCTATAAACTAATTAGGACCATCAACTTTTTATACTGGAAGAGTTCATCTCTTATTACCTCTTTGTCATCAAGCCCACCTGATTTGGTTTCATATATAGATTGGAGTAGCATCTTGATCTCAACTGCTAAATTACTGCAAGGGTAAGTTGACCAAGTCAGAAAAAACGCTGATAATTCCTTGAACATGGTAATGAATAAACTATAATGGAAATACGGAAATCAGTTAGTAGAAAATTAGTTTTATGAGGAGCAAAACATTTGTGAGCAAAACTGAGCTGCAGTTTATAAAGTTGCAGAATTAGAGAAAGAAAATGCTTTGAAATCGACATTTGTAATGAAGAAGTACTGAATATAAGCTGCAACTGTGAGATTGTTCACTTTGCATAGGTTTTACTTGTGCGTGCGGAGAATAATTTCAATTCTAGTTTATGGTTCATGTATATGGAACACCTTTAGCCCAGCACCCCACAGGACTTGAGCGACCCACACATCAATCACCTTGTGTACTATCTTTAGAATCACAAGCATATCTGCATGTAAGTGCTGCTAGTATCCTAATACAATAGCCAGGAATGACAACACCAAGTTCCCGACTGTCTTAACTGACAGACAACAATAGTTCCACTTCCACATGGTAGTTCAAGTTGACTGACCTAGTAATAGAATCAAATGATGTGCTCATAAGAATGATTTCTGTCAAGTCATGAGCAATTCTCTAAACTAGATTTCAAAGTTCACCAGAGCTTGGCTGAAAGACTGCAGTGCAGCGATGTGGACAGAGGAAGCTTCTTCTGTGTCCATGGGATCATCATCTTCAGTTTCTGATTCATCCGGTGACAAAGAGGGATTTCAGTGCGAGCAAGAAATTAAAGTGTATGTACAGACAAAAAAAAACTATGCAAGGCTACAGATTCTGATGATACAACATCAATTTACTTAAGCTCTTACACAAGAGCAGTGAAGGTCAAGGTGAACCTAAGGAAATATCATACTTGGCAAAAAAAAGTTGAAAGAAGACGATCAAATTAAAATCATGTAACTAAATACACAGAAGAATCTTCTTATAAATAAATCAGGCAACCAATATTTTGTCCGATATTCAAAGAGCTATGTTTGAATGACTCTTCTATATTATACGATGCTCTATGCCAACAGATAAATGAGAGCAAAAAGAGTGTTATTAAAATTGTATGCATGCCTTATATATACCAACGGTCGTTCTTGAGAAATATTGTGGCTCATGCCTCATGACATTTAGAAAAAATTGGATAATATGTAGGTGCTAGCACTTTCCAGAAGGTACAAACCTTACAGGTTCACTCAAGCAAATACCACAAATCATATAATGGCACAAAAATGGTTTGTGGTTCACAAAATTACAGAATAATTGAGAGAGAGAGAGAGAGAGAAGCAGCAACATGTTGGAGTTCAGAGAAGAACTGCATCAACGGGT